TGAGATTGCCACTAGTATAGACCTATTTAGTCTGTGACATAGTCATTAAATAACCCTAACACAGCGTGCAATGCACAATTAAACATACCTTGCTCCTGCTGATTTAAGTAACAATAGTGATCAAAATAACAAGAACTGAATGTCAACCGACGGACTAATACAAGTTTTATGTTCATGTCACGTTTAACATCTCACATTTAACATGTAAGGTTTAACATAACCATTGCCATAAAAAGCACATATGAAATGGCTGACAAAAGACTGCTACAAGCAGACCGGTGTACCTGCGACCCACTCATCACAAATGATTCCAGCAAAGGCTTGGCATGCAATCTGCACTGCCTAATTAAGTACATCCTACAGGGTGTCTACCAGATGACTTTTTCCAAAGTCCATGATTTTTCAAGGTTTTCCTTGACTATTTTGATAAAATTCCTTGGCTGTTTCCTCCTTCGAAGGATACCATTTTGGGCAATGTTATTCAGCACAGCTGTGGCGACACCCGATCGCCGGGCTTCGTTCCGCACCACCGCGTCACTTTCCCTGATTTAGTCAACCTTTTGACATTTTCCCTGATAATTCCTTGACTTTTCCAGGTGATCTAAAATTCCCTGACGATTTCAGGCTTGCCCAGGTTGGTAGACACTCTGATCTCAATCTCCTTCACGCTTCACATATGTGTAAAGCAGAAACAATGTCCAAAAGAAAAGGAAGTTGCGTCCAAGATGAAAGACCTCAGAGAGTATTAAAAAAGATCAAAATGGGAACTTACACATTCCACATGGTCATAATAGAAAAACACAGACACGACCATCTAAAAAAGCAGTCACTACAGTAGACCAGTAGAGTGCAACCTACTTGCTGCAAATAATCCCAACAAATGCCTAGTGTGCAGTCTGCACGACCCAATAACATCCCAATAATATTAATTTTACTCTTGCAGGTATCTTATGAAACGCAACATAAGGGCTGAAACACATCTCCAGAATGAAGTCCTACCCACTGAACTCTTCAAGCTGTTCACCAGAGATGCGAGAATGAAAGCAAACTTTATCCAAGTTTCTATTTACGAAACGGACATGTCAGCACAATTGAATCCTGCAAAACATTTTTCATCATAATGGAATCCTGCAAAATATCTCAAATTTCGCGGTCCACGGAATTTGAGATGAAGAGCTAACTTTTTCAACCATAAAGGGAATCATTTTCCCTTGCCCTTGGATCTTAATTTAACATGGCTTGACAGTAGGTGAAATAACTCGTCAGTCACGTGAGGGCGAATGATGTCGAGAGCTTCCGAAGCTGATCGAGGCATATTCTTCTCTTGCTTGCGCAGCCTTGCGATGGTCCTCCGGTTCTTTGAAACCTTGGCTTGGAGACGCCTTATGATGTCCTTCGTTCTCGACGCAAAACTGCGCAGAGGAGGCGTAGAAGTACCTGAAACGGATAAAAAAAATGAAATCAAAGCAGGTAAGCAGTTCTGCTTATAACCATCACAGCCAACATTACCTAACAACGACATAATCTGCAAGTAGATAATATGCCCTTAAACTACAGACAATCAGAAATCAGGGGAAACTGGGCGTTTGAAGCTATGTTGGCTAAATTTACAAATTGCCACCCTATGCCTTGACACCACAGTACATAAGGTGTATTACAGGTTTTGCATGAAAAGCCCATCACCGGAGAAGTAGACAAACTAAAATCCACCTTGACACACACAAATTTTATTTATATGAGTAGTACCATATGGGCACACAGGTGAACAAAAGAAATGGGACACTTACAAGCTTCAACTGGTTCACAAGAGGATGTGGAGGAGCTCCAGCGGCGAACTGCACGATGGCCTCGATGGGGTCTGCGCTGCACGGTGAGTCAGCCGCTTCCATGGAGTCCGGAAGAGTTTGTCTATTAGAGGCAGGCTGTTGTTTCCAACACAAGTCCTTCCTCACCATGAGCAGCGGTTGAGGTTCTTGGGGCCGGAAGCTGGAGGCTGCACTGCACGATGGGGCTGTAGCCTCCATGGGGTCTGCGCCGCACGGCGGGGCTGTCACTTCCATGGGGTCTGGAAGAGTTTGTTATTAGACGCAGGCTGTTGTTTTCAACACAAGTCCTTCCTCACCATGGACAGCGGTTGAGGGTTTTTTGGGCCGGAAGCTGGAGGCTGCACTGGACGATGGGGCTGTAGCCTCCATGGGGTCTGCGCCGCACATTGAGGCAGCCGCTTCCATGGAGTCTGGAAGAGTTTGTCTATTAGACTCAGGCTGTTGTTTCCAACACAAGTCCTTCCTCACCATGAGCAGCGATTGAGGGGCCTTTGGGCCGGAAGCTGGAGGCTGCACTGCACGATGGGGCTGTAGCCTCCACGCGGTCTGCGCCGCACGGCGGGGCTGTCACTTCCATGGAGCCTGGAAGAGCTTGTCTATTAGATGCAGACTGTTGTTTCCAACACAAGTCCTTCCTCGCCAAGGGCAGCGGTTGAGGGTTCTTTGGGCCGGAAGCTGGAGGCTGCACTGCACGATGGGGCTGTAGCCTCCATGGGGTCTGTGCCGCACGGTGAGGCTGCCGCTTCCATGGAGTCTGGAAGAGCTTGTCTATTAGATGCAGACTGTTGTTTCCAACACAAGTCCTTCCTCGCCAAGGGCAGCGGTTGAGGGTTCTTAGGGCCGGAAGCTGGAGGCTGCACTGCACGATGGGGCTGTAGCCTCCATGCGGTTTGCGCCGCACGGCGGGGCTGTCACTTCCATGGAGTCTGGAAGAGCGTGTCTATTAGATGCAGACTGTTGTTTCCAACACAAGTCCTTTCTCGCCAAGGGCAGCGGTTGAGGGTTCTTTGGGCCGGAAGCTGGAGGCTGCACTGCACGATGGGGCTGTAGCCTCCATGGGGTCTGCGCCGCACGGCGGGGCTGTCACTTCCATGGAGTCTGGAAGAGCTTGTCTGTTAGATGCAGACTGTTGTTTCCAACAGAAGTCCTTCCTTGCCAAGGGCAGCGGTTGAGGGTTCTTTGGGCCGGAAGCTGGAGGCTGCACTGCACGATGGGGCGCGCTGTAGCCTCCATGGGGTCTGCGCCGCACGGTGAGGCTGCCGCTTCCATGGAGTCTGGAAGAGTTTGTCTATTAGACGCAGGCTGTTGTTTCCAACGCAATTCCTTCCTCACCATGGGCAGCGGTTGAGGGTTCTTTGGGCCGGAAGCTGGAGGCTGCACTGCATGATAGGGCTGTAGCCTCCATGGCGTCTGCGCCGCACGGTGAGGTTGCCGCTTCCATGGAGTCTGGAAGAGTTTGTCTATTAGCCGCAGGCTGTTGTTTCCAACACAAGTCCTTCATCACCATGAGCAGCGGTTGAGGGGCCCTTGGGCCGGAAGCTGGAGGTTGCACAGCACGATGGGGCTGTAGCCTCCATGGGGTCTGTGCCGCACGGTGAGGTTGCCGCTTCCATGGAGTCTGGAAGAGTTTGTCTATTAGCCGCAGGCTGTTGATTCCAACACAAGTCCTTCATCACCATGAGCAACGGTTGAGGGGCCTTTGGGCCGGAAGCTGGAGGTTGCACAGCACGATGGGGCTGTAGCCTCCATGGGGTCTGCGCCGCACAGTGAGGCAGCCTCTTCCATGGAGTCTGGAAGAGTTTGTCTATTAGACGCAGGCTGTTGTTTTCAACACAAGTCCTTCCTCACCATGGGCAGTGGTTGAGGGGCCTTTGGGCCGAAAGCTGGAGGCTGCACTGCATGATCGCACAGCGGGGCTGTCACTTCCTTGGGGTCTGGAAGAGATTGTCTATTAGACGCAGGCTGCAGTTTCCAACACAAGTCCTTCCTCACCATGGGCAGCGGTTGAGGGTTCTTTGGGCCGGAAGCTGGAGGCTGCACTGCAAGATGGGGCTGTAGCCTCCATGGGGTCTGTGCCGCACGGCGGGGCTGTCGCTCCCATGGAGTCTGGAAGAGTTTGTCTATCAGACGCAGGCTGTTGTTTCCAACGCAAGCCCTTCCTCACTATGGGCAGCGGTTGAGGGTTCTTTAAGCCGGAAGCTGGAGGCAGCACTGCACGATGGGGCTGTAGCCTCCATGGGGTCTGCGCCGCACGGTGAGGCAGCCGCTTTCGTAGAGTCTGAAAGAGTTTGTCTATTAGACGCAGGCTGTTGTTTCCAACACAAGTCCTTCCTCACCATGAGCAGCGGTTGAGGGGCCTTCGGGCCGGAAGCTGGAGGCTGCACTGCACGATGGGGCTGTAGCCTCTATGGGGTCTGCGCCGCATGGTGAGGCTGCCGCTTCCATGGAGTCGGAAGAGTTTGTCTATTAGACGCAGGCTGTTGTTTCTAACACATTTCCTTCCTCACCATGGGCAGCGGTTAAGGGTTCTTTGGACCGGAAGCTGGAGGCTGCACTGCACGACGGGGCTGTAGCCTCCATGGGGTCTGCGCCGCACGGTGAGGCTGCCGCTTCCATGGAGTCTGGAAGAGTGTCTATTTGACGCAGGCTGTTGTTTCCAACACAAGTCCTTCTTCACCATGGGCAGCGGTTGAGGGTTCTTTGGACTGGAAGCTGAAGGCTGCACTGCACGATGGGGCTGTAGCCTCGATGGGGTCTGCGCCGCACGGTGAGGCAGCTGCCGCTTCCATGGAGTCTGGAAGAGTTTGTCTATTAGACGCAGGCTGTTGTTTCCAACACAAGTCCTTCCTCACCATGAGCAGTGGTTGAGGGTTCTTTGGACCGGAAGCTGGAGGCTGCACTGCACGATGGGGCTGTAGCCTCCATGGGGTCTGCGCCGCACGGTGAGGCTGCCGCTTCCATGAAGTCTGGAAGAGCTTGTCTATTAGACGCAGGCTGTTGTTTCCAACACAAGCCTTTCCTCACCATGGGCAGCGGTTGAGGGTTCCTTGCGCCGGAAGCTGGAGGCTGCACTGCATGATGGGGCTGTAGCCTCCATGGGGTCTGCGCCGCACGGTGAGGCTGCCGCTTCCATGGAGTCTAGAAGAGCTTGTCTGTTAGACGCAGGCTGTTGTTTCCAATACAAGTCCTTCCTCACCATGGCCAGCGGTTGAGGGTTCCTTGGGCCGGAAGCTGGAGGCTGTAGCCTCCATCGGGTCTGAGCCGCACGGTGAGGCTGCCGCTTCCATGGAGTCTGGAAGAATTTGTCTATTAGACGCAGGCTTTTGTTTCCAACACAAGCCTTTCCTCACCATGGGCAGCGGTTGAGGGTTCCTTGGGCCGGAAGCTGGAGGCTGCACTGCATGATGGGGCTGCAGCCTCCATGGGGTCTGCGCCGCATGGCGGGGCTGTTGCTTCCATGGAGTCTGGAAGGGTTTCGTCTATTAGAAGTTAGGTTGTGAAGCTGTAGAAGCAGCATTGTTTAAATAAAGTTAACATAAGTAATGTACTTCTCGTATATGGATAGTTAAAAAATCTTTACCTCTAGCTCTTTTAGGATCTGAATATGTCGATGGGCGAACTGAAGGCACAGCGTTTTCATTAGCTTTGTCCGCCCAGGGTTCTTGAAGTTTCGCGCTGTGAAGTGACTGCTGCAGACGAAACACTTCGCCTGTAGCTCACTGTACGATATTTGCCGAAGGTAGTCTTTTTTTGGCATACTTCAGCCACGCCTTTGACCTGCAAGATGCAGTGAAGTTCAGTATTTTTCATTCTGTTTCTTTGTTCAAAATAAAATATTTGACCACAATGGTTTGCATATTGTGGTTTTACATGGAGGTAATAAGCAAACTAATAGTGCTTCAGAAGGTTGTAGGTGTTTATTGACTGCACACATATACACTTTTTAACAGACTGGTTAAAATGTGCGCAATGCTATAAAAAGAAGTGTAACTTTTTTTTAGGAGTTCAGTAGTTTTTTTACCAGTGCTGACAATGGGCATCAGCTAGTTTTCGTGCCTTGCTCATTTAATAATTGACATTTATAGAAACATTAAAAATATTGCAGTCTCAAAAGAAAAAAAAAAAAAGAAAACGAGTTGTGCTTCCCTTGCATGTCATGTTAATTCACTGCGTAGCAACAAAGTTGTAATTCAGTTTGTCTTGTGGACCTGGAAAGCAAGTCCACCACAGTCCGGTTATCATGGAATGGAATGTTTTAAAATTAAATTCAGTACTAATAGAAGTAAAGCACATTCAGGATTTGAAATGAGTTTTGATTAAACATTCAGCTTTCTCTCCGGTTCTCATTAGAACCATGCATCCAGTACGTTGTTAAAACAAAGGACAACCTTCCGTCTCGTGGAACCCGGAAGAACTTTGTTTCTGGCCTCTTGCGCGTTCTTCCATTGTTTCCGCACCAGGCTACGCCACAGTAGCTGTCGTAGCCAAACACCCTGGCGGCATCCGCTGGGAAACGAAAATAGCACAAGTCACTTTGAGATTACGCGAATTCAGTGCCTTCATTTCATAGCAATTTAGAAACCAAAATTTTTGAAGCGACAATAAAGAGTGGTGATGAAGAAAAGCGTTCACGGTATTGTCACACCCCATTTCTTTGTATTCACCTCGTGAGCGCGCTCTGCTTAGGATGGCCTTGCCCCAGTGGCGTCACAAGAGGGGGTGGACCGCCCCGGTGCAGCACTCGGGGGGGGGGGGGGGGGGGGGGGAGGAGTCGCGGTGGGCCACGCGAGAGCGGGAAAGGGGGGGGGGGGGGGGTCGCAGCGGGCTATTGCCCCGGTAGCCGCTGACCCTCGTGCCCTCGTGACGCCACTGCCTCGCCCTAAGCAAAGCGCGCATGCAGGCTACCTGTACCCTACTTCATTTGTGGCGCCAGGTACAACGCTGTCAAAGCTGCTGGCGCGACAGTCACGCGCTCGCGCCACCAGCATTGACAGCGATGCAAATGAGGTATAAAATTGATACAACCTAATGTCCTATCGGAGGTACTCTGTTTATGTTGTAATGATGCTCTCGTAACTGGAGTGCCTAGACTGGCGCTCTGGCTGCACCACCGCACGCGCGCACATGCAACTGCCGATGCTTCATCCAGAGCAATTAGCTCGCGCTTTAGCCCGTGCGTCCAACTATAGCCAAATGCAAGCAAAATACGGTGTCAGTAAAACGACTCACCTTCTTAACAACGGAAGTATGACGAGAAGCCCGCGCGAGCCATTCATGCGGAGCCCAACGGACCTTTCGCGTGACGTGACCGGAAAGCCACGGTACGAAAGGTCCGTGACAATAGAGAGTTTTAGCTTACCGCGTACCGGGCGACCGCCGGGGTTACCGCGACCGCGACCATCGAGCCGGTACCGGACCGAGAGCGTAGCGGGTAAAGAACGTTTTAGCATACCGTAACCGCGCCTGACCGCGCCTATGGAAGTTTCTTCTTTCTCCAACGGCTGGAAAAAGTCATGATGATGATAGTGAATACCGGCGTGGTTCGTTTTTCAAGCGGTACATTTATTTGGACAAGTGCCGCATAAAAAGCCACTTTTAAAAAATATTTTCCTCATTACGAGTAGTTATAGTGGTACTTCCTTGGTATACGACCAAGTAACTTAATTTGTCAGCTAAGCTGTTGGATACTGGTCGCAGGGACGGGGATTTGAACCCAGTGCTCTGAGTTCTGCAGCGCGAGCTTTCGCTACACGTGCTCCGAGCTGTGGTGCGTTAGCCCACTCGGCCACCGTTCTCCCACGAATGCAAGCAAACAGCATCATCCTGTACGCTGCTTGTTTGCATTCGCAGCTCCATTGCCATCAGCACCAGTCTCTAATGTCGGCTAGGTGGCTCAGGTTGCCGCCCGAAACAAGGGGCATAGCAGTTACCATCCATCTATTCAACCGGCCTGTCCGGCGGCCATGGAAGCCCGGATTTTTGCTATGGACCTCGGGTAGGCGAAAGCCTTTATAGGCCAACCAGAGCCGCTTCACTTGCCCTTTCCCATGTTATGTGGTGCGACGATTGTTTCTAGACGCCTCCCCCGCCATTCCAAAACAGTAAGTGATTAGTCTACGCCGGCCGTCGGAGCCGATGCCCGGCAGTCGCCATTGACGGTAAACGCGGTAAACCGAGTAGCGTGGCATAATTGGCGCATGCGCAGTTCTGCAATGACGGTCGCGGTAACCCCCCGGTCGCCCGGTAGGCGGTAAGCTAATACTCTCTAATGACACTTTCTTCGGCAAAGAGCAGTTCCGTCTACGCTGAGAGCCAGTCCCGCGCTTGGTTATACAAAAAGGTCCGAAGATCGGCACTTCCTCCCCGTGACGCGGAGCGATTGCTGACGCTAAATGATGGCAGGGCATGTAGCTGCATTCAGGGACGAATGCTGTGAACCGTGTGGCTATCGGCAGTCCGTGGCAATGCGGTTCAACCGGGTGACTGTCCTCACTAGCCGCCCATTCATGTGTGTTTTGGGGAGAAATTTGCAAGTGTGCCCGACACCTGTGTCTTCACAATCCGACAAGTTTGATGATATGATTAAAACGTTGAAACGAAAGAGTGAACAATGTAGAAATGCAAATGGAAAAGTTACGAACATTGTCCCACCCTTGAAGATGTCAACTAAAAGAATAAAATAAGTTGCTTTCGGGACTTTGCTCTTCTGTGGCAGCGTGACGAGTAAATAAGAAAAGTTCCAAGCACGAAATATGTTCAACACTACGTAACTAATAAAATCATTTCTAAAACCTGCGTAAAAACGGCTGACATGTCAGAAAAAGAAAAAGAATAAATCTGCAATAAGCTGCCATCACTTCACTCTGTCCCTACAGCCTTGCCCTATTATGACACAGCACTCAACTTAAGCCTAAAGTGTTCAGAAAAGTCGTTTGAAAAAACAAAGGCACACATCACACAACCGTAGATCACGGCGGCGGCGCAGCGATGGCGTCCGGAGGTCTCCGATTCCTCCAGTTCACCGCACTTGGCAACGAAGTTGAACCGTCCCACCGACGTTCAGTGGCGCCGAAGCAACGTCCGAGCAATGCCAAACCAACAAAATTACAGTGAGAGCGCGGGCAAGCTGGAGCGTATTTACCATTTTGTCGAATGACCCAAGACTGGGGCAAGCAACCTGGGAAACGTCGAACTCTGATTTCTTGCCCCAGTATTGGGAAATTCAACAAAATGCCAAAACAACGTTGCACAACCATGTGTAAGCGTCCCACCAACGCAGAGTCACCAACGCAATGTCCGCGGGACGCCGCAGCAATGTCATTCTAACGTTGCGCAACGACATTGGAATCGTCCACCAATGTCGAGAAGCACTGGACCCATGTTGTCCAGCGTTGCAACGTCCCACGATGCCGGGTGGCACCAATGTGGCGTGTCGATACCCAATCGATGTCGTTCCAACGTTGCAACGTCCCACAACGCTGATGCCGAGCGGCACCAATGGGGCGTGTGCCAAATCGATGTCGTTTCGACGTTGCTCGAGCCGTCCAACACGTAAGCCGGCACACCACCGTCGTCGTAGTGGAGGGGGGCGGTTTCTGCACCACGGTGTTGTCCGTGTCGTCGTCCTCCTCATCGCTGTCCTCCATGTCGCACACATTGTTGACGGACAGGTCGGAACAGGACAGGTGGGAGGGGGACAGGGCGCCCTCATCCAGGAACCCGCGGCTTCCCTGGGAGGGGAAGCCATAGGACACAACTCCGTCCTCCGAGAGGTCGTCTGCGGGCGACTGGTCGTTGCTCAGGCAGTGCGAAGGTTCGGGTGGCGCTCGTAACGGTGCGGGCAGGCACCTTGGGCTGGCTCTTCTTCGTCGTCCTCGCTGATCTGCAGCAGCTGCTCGTAGCCCTGAAAGAAAGGCGCCGCATTTTGAGTCATAGAAAAAGGGTCCGGTCGTTCGCACCATACTTTACGGGTTAATTGTACCGTAAAATATGTAAAAGGTCCACGTCAAAATAAGCCCTCCCCCCCTTCTGTTGGCATTCAGTTAATTGAACAATGTTTCATTGACGGATCGTTTTGCCCATGCTTCGTCGACGGTTTCATCTACACAAGTTAAACTGATTTTCGGAATACCCAAACTCTACTTTTTTCCGACGTGCAAAATAGCTATTAAAAAAAGGCGAAATAAAGGTAATGCCAAAAACAATCTTAGAATTTTCCGGCACTCCCAGTCGGGAGGGCATTGCATAACTTGCAAGTCGCACAGGCAGTGTAGAAAACAGTTTTTGTTTTCCATTTCGCTGGAGTGAGCTTTTTAGCATTCATTTCACATCATCAAACTTCTTGTAACCCGTTCGGCCCAAGCTCTGCTGCCCCCCTATTGAACCATAACACAACATCTGACGTCGTGTCTCCAGTGTTGCCATTAGAGCCTTTCAGCCTCTCGGACAAAATCTGAAACTTTAATAACTAATGGCGAATCCCACTGGTCGTTTTGGTGCACGCCGGGACAAACTTTTCTGCCTATTTCACTTGGCCGTCGGGAGCGAAACGGGCGTGCTCAACTCGTCGTTTCAGATAAACTCCCACTCCAGATCCAGATCCCGAGAAAAGTCGCATTGTCGATTTTGGCGGATTCGACCGGAAGCCACCCTGGCCAACTCTCAGCATGCACACATGAGCTCCTTCCTCCCAAAGCTCGGAAGAATTCGTAATAGCCGCTCGCGGAGTGCCGCCCACTTTTCTGCTGCTGCTGCTGCTTGATGACAGTTCATCGCCGAATTGCTCGAGCAACCCCTTTAGCAGCAGCGGCTTGAGTAGCAGCGACAACGAGGATTGCTTGTATGTCCCCCAAGAATTCGACTACATTTCAGACCTCCGCAGAGGAGGCCGAAAATCGAGACGTCTTTGGATACTGTTCACAAGTATTTACAACTTTCAAAGATGGTGCTACCGAAGTGTGAGAATCGCACTCCCTAGCTCTCGGATGATGGGCTTCAACATAGAGATGCCTGTTTACACCTTCCTGAAGCAAAGATAGGACGTAAAGCTTTCATATCACTTGGATTTCACAAAATTATCATTACTTCCGCATCACCGACCGAACCTTGTTCAGCTGTTCTACGACAATCATTTAGATGACAGCCGTTTTGATAGCAATGGGAGCAGCCCCTATAGGCCGTGAAAGTTGTGATAAAGAATCAAGTGCGCTATGCTGATGCACGTATCGCTTATGGACAATCATCTTTCACATCATCATTAACTTTGTTCGTGTGATGAACACGTGTTGTTAGCGCCGCCATTGCTAAAACATGTGCTTTGAGATCTGGGACTGGGGGAGGGAATTCCTGGGAAGGTCAATGACCGGAAGGCATCCTCCAATCTCGGAGGAGTGGTCATATTGCACGGGGAATTTGGAGGCGGACTGACTTCGTGTGCATCACACGCTCCATCTCAAATCTGGTCTACTAACCTCGGCGCGCTCTAAAACGACCAGTGGAATTCGCCATTAGCAAAAAATTGTTGATTTATCTTGATCTCATTGATAAAGCCAGCACACTCATAATGTGTTTTTGTGGCATTCTTCAGGGTTTATGGCGGATGTTGCGGTTTGTTTTTAGTTTTCTTTGGTAATATCATTTTATTTTACTTGAAACTCGAACCTTTTTTTTTTTTTTTGCGATGGTGGGCA